GCTCACAGCAACCTCAAACTCCTGGGCTTAAGTGATCCTCCTGCCTCAGCCTCCTGAGTAGCTGGGACTAGAGGCACTTGCCATAATGCCTGGCTAATTTTTTGTTTCTATTTTTAGTTGCCCAGCTACTTTCTTTCTATTTTTAGTGGAGATGGGGTCTCATTCTTGCTCAGGCTGGTCTTGAACTCCTGACCTCAAGGGATCCTCCCACCTCGGACTCCCAGAGTGCTAGGATTACGGGCATAATCCACCATGCCTTCAATTTTTTAATATACTGAAAAACATATTAGGAGAATCCATTGATTGCTATCATGGTCAGCTTATCTCACATAAACCAAATTTCACGGAAAATATATCAGAATAGAAAATGTTCAAAATGTTGTAGGTAATGTTAGCAGTTAAAAGAATAACTGTCAGATTTTAACAGCATACATTTAATTGGTAACCCAGTGTTGTAGAGCATTTAATGTTCTTGATATGAAAAGATCTAAATTTAAGTCATGATCTAATTCATTCATTAAATACAACAAATATTGTGTTAACTGTGCTAAACCTGGTAAGAGCACTTTAAAAACCTTGTTCATAGTTCCTATTAGCATGACTTTTGGGATGTGATCATAGATCAGACAAAGCCTTAAGAGATATGGATAATCCAATAGATTTACATTAACTTAGTTTAGGAGAGCAATTTAAATATAAATTGAAGCAAGTTTGGAAATTATTCACAAATTTAGTGAGGACTGCAGACTTCAATGAGGAAAAGAAAAATCTAGATACTGACCTTCATGACTTGAATCTAAAGGATGTGGGCTGGCAGATCATCCCATTTGGAGGGAATACACTTGTAGATCCTACAGGCCTAGCAACTACTAAAGGGAGCTCTATTTGTCCCTCCTCATCTTAAAAAAAAATCACCCTGAAAAGTTATAGCTCTGGAAAATCCCAGACAAAATTTCTGGTTGATACACAACCTCAAAATTTACCTGGGAGGGTACCCCAAATTATTTGGGATAATATAATTGTTTCCTTTATAAAACTCAGGAAAATGTAGAATGAAGTGTAGAGGTAGTATTTTAAAATAGAGATTTAAAAATAGAGACACAGGCTGGGTGCAGTGACTCATGCTTGTAATCCCAGCACTTTTGGAGGCCGAGGTAGGAGGATCACTTGAGGCCAGGAGTTCAAGACCAGCCTGGGCAATATAGCAAGACCCTGTCTCTATAAAAACTGAAAAATAATTAGCTGGGCATTGTGGCATGCGCCTGTAGTCCCAGCTACTCAGAAGGCTGAGGCGGGAGGATCGCTTGAGCCCAGGATTTTGAGGCTGCAATGAGCTCTGATCATACCTCTGCACTCTAGCCAGGATGACAGAATGAGACCCTGTCTCAACAATCAAAAAAGACTGGAGAAGAGGATAAGGAGTACAGAGAATGAAGTGGAGAGTTTACATTTTCAGATAAAGAAATCAGAGAAGGCCTCATTGAGAAGACCTGACAGAGATGACAGCAAGCCATGTAGATACATGAGGAAAGAGTATTCCAGACAAAGAAAAAACTTAAGTGCAAAGGTCCTAATGCAGGAGTGTATCTGACATGTTCTAGGAATAGCATAGAGGCCACTGTGGCTGATACATAGAAAACTGGAAGAGTAAAAGCTTAGATTTGAGATTGGAGAGGACTTTGGCTTTTACTCTGAGTAAGATGGGGAGTCATTAGGGTTTTGAAGAGAGGAGGGTTATATTCTGACCTATGGTTTAAAATGATCATTCTGGCCCTAGTGTGAAGAATAAACAGTAGGGGCAAGGTCTGAAGGAGGGTGGCTAGTTGGAGGTTGTTGTAATAATTCAGGGGTGATATTAAGAGGTTGTGGTTTAGACCAGTGAGGTAAAGGAGGGGTGGTGAGAAATAGTTGACTTCATACTGCCACTCTCTTTGTACACACACACATACACACATAAAAAGAATATATTATATATTAACCTTTTATTATGGAAAATATTAAACATAAACAAAAGTGGACAAAAACAGTATAATGAGCTATCACGTACCTATCACTCAGCTTCAACAATTATCAACTATCAACTCAGGGTCAATCTTTTTTCATACAAACCTCCAACCACTTCCCTCCCTTCCCATATTATTTTAAGCATATACTAGACAACATGTCATTTCACCCTAAATATTTCAGTATATATCTCTAAAATATGAAGACTCTCATATTTTTAATATAACCACATTCCCATAATCACACCTAAAATATCAAATATCTAGTAAATGTTAAGTTTTCCAACTGTCTCATATATGTCTTATTTTTTTGTAATATGTTTGGATCAGGATCCACATAAGATCCACATATTGTGATGAGGTGATATGTCTTTTAAGTTTCTTTAATTTTTCATTCTTTTTTTTTAAAAGGGCCAGGGTTGGGGCGGGAGCCTCCGGCCTCCGTTTGGGCCCTCTGCCCGACGACCCCGGCTCCCAAGTCTCTTTTGATCTATAGGTTTTCTCCCTGACTCCATCTCTTTTTTTTCTTCCTTGTAATTTATTTGTTGAAGAAACTGGGTGGTTTATTCTGACTAAATATATTTTGAAGGTAGAGCAGACAGGATTTGTTAATGGATTAGAGTTGGGATGTGAGAGGGAAGAAAAAAAGGTGCCAAGGATGACACCAAGGTTTTAGGTCTGGGGATCAGGAAAGGGACAAATCTGAGATAAGGGAGCCTTTACCAGGAGCAGATTTGGGACAAAGATCAGAAGTTTGGTTTTGGCCTGTGAAGTCTGATCTACCTATTAGACATTCAAGTAGAGGATTTCATTTGACCATGAAATCCTTTTTTTCTTGGAGTATCTTGTGAGGACAGGGTTTTGAAGAATACTTGGAGGAAATACTGTTTTTGTTTTAATTACTCTTGACCACTGTTCTAACTTATAAAATACTAATTCTTTCTAGTAAAGTAGGGGGAAAATCCCACATTCTAGTCAACTTGCATTGAGAAGATGATCATATGTCTCAAGAGTCATAAGACAGTAAATAAAAAGGGACACTAAAACTGTTCCAGCAAAGAAAGATAACACTGGATTATTTCTTCTAAAATATTCAATCTAACAACTGATTTTTGAATAAAACCAAAAGGTGAAATGAAATTTCTTTCATCAATGGAGAGGGGAAGGAAAGGTTAAACTGATTTTTAAAAATGATTTGTAGATTAATACAGGCTGATTCAGAAACTACTTAGATTTGGGGTCTGAATTTCTTTTAAGAAATTTAATCTTGTTCCTACAGGCAGTCTGGAATTTGCTTCAGTTTGCATTTTGTGGGGGGAAAAAACACCACAAACCAAACCTACTTCAAAAGAAGAAGCTATTTCTACTATTTATAGTAGAAATAACAATCAGATAGAGGAAACCAAACATGGTATTCCAAAGATTGTGCTTAGTGGTTATAAAAAATGTGAGATACACACTCAAATTCCTGGCTCCCAGTGGTGATATGGAAAACCATTTTCCTCTTTTCACTATACTCAAATGCAGTCAAGAATCCTGGTTCCTACAGAAAGATAAAAGGAAATGGTCAAAGGTTATAAAATGATGGTTTTAATTTCAAATGCTGCTAAAAACTATATACTCGATTATCAAGGTCATCATTTCATATAAGCTATGGTTCATTTGTCTTTGAAGGCAGTACAAGATCATGGTTAAGAACACAGACTTTGGAGCCACCCTTTATAGATTCAAATTATGTCTCTAACACTTATTAATTGTATGATATGGGGTAAACTACTTAATCTTGCTGTACTTCAACTTCCTCTTTTGGGTCAAACAGGGATAATAATGTCTCTTTCTTAGGGTAGCTGTGAAGATTAAATGAGATATATTTATAGCACAAATCAGAAGGTTATTTTACTAAATCATTCAGTTGATTTCAGTCAATAGCATCATTTTTTTTCCAGCTCTAGAAGTTTTAAAGAGCACAGAAATTCCATTTTCATTACTCATGTAACAATATTTTTCACATGGCAGATACACTACATATTTGCTGATTAAAGAGGTACAGCTAATGCAGCAGAGGAACTGCATTAGCATTGGGAAAATGGTCCTAATGTCATCTAATGTGTTTCCCTCTTTCTTGTTTAACACTATGACAGTGGTTCTCAAACTTTGGAGAATTTGGGGAGGTGGATGGGCAAGCTCAGGCCCTATCCTATTTCAATGAGCCTGGCCTCTGTGTTCTCTATTAGCCACTCCAGGTGATTCTGATACATACCAATGTTTAGAACCATTGTACTATGAAATTAACTTCCTTTCTTTCTTTCCTTCTCTTTCTCTCTTTTTTCTCTCTCTCTCCTCTCTCTGTCTCTCTCTTAATCTCTTTCTCTCTCTTTCAGAATAAACAGCCTGGTGCAGTGGCCTCACGCCTGTAATCCCAGCAATTTGGGAGGTTAAAGTGGGAGGATTGTTTCAGGCCAGAAGTCTGAGACCATCCTGGGCAACATAGTGAGACCCCTTCTCTAAAAAAATAAAAAATAAAAATGAACAGCTTTGGTTTAGAAAGGAGAAGATTCTAGGTGCAGTAGTGGGTGCTGTGGAAGGAGAGGGATTCTTTTCTTTGGTAATGAGATTTAGGTTCCAAAGAAAAGAAGTCTAATGTCTAGGAGCTATAAAGTAGCAGTTTCCCCAATCCTGGGACTGCTCTAGGGCTTCCTTAGACACCCTGGCAGTCGTGGAACTGACTTGTGGGTACACCGACTGAGTGCACCCAGAAGCTAGAGCAATTGAGCTGAGTAGTTCATTTGGGTCCTCTCCAAGTTCAGTTCAGGATCTCATTGCTACTTGCATCAGTCTCCCGTTGTCACTGCCTCTGAAGAAAGAAAACAAATGGCTGTCCATGAAGAAAGCTTCTCAGACATGCTGGGAACATGACCCTCACGGAAAAAGGAGAAACGGAGAGTATTGTTCTTCTGTGAAGAGTCAGGCCTAGTACATTCCTATTTCCAGAGCCGGTACCTCTAGTGGTCCCCAAAAGTTCTACACAAAAGCTTTGGTCAAAGGTATGTATGCATTTGCCTGGCAGCTTGGCAGCTGCATGGCCTCCTTCCAGTCTGCAGGACCAGCTAGAAGGTATGAGTTAATTTAGCTCAGCTGCCTCAGTGAGCATATTCTTGGTCATATCTATCTCAAATGCACATATGTAGACCCAACCACTGTTTGTCTTTTGCTAACCCAATGCTCTCTTATTAATTGGCCTATATACTAGGAGAAAGTAACTTCTTTGGTACCAAGTGCTTTGCAAGAGCCATAGGTATGATATTTGAGGAGATGAGACAAAAATAAGGAGGAAGGTAAAAAACAAAGATGAAAAGGAGGAGGGAAGGCAGAGAAACAGAAAGCTGGAAAAAAGTAATATAAAGGGAAACTGAAAAGTTTGGGTAAAAATAATTACCTTTGTTAGTGTTCTAGGTCTCTTAATCCTTACCTCAATCCTTCAGAAATTAATTGCTGTTGCTTTGAAACTGAAGTGGTAAAAGGTTAACATGGGAAGTATAGTATATTGTGATCTACAGGAACTCAGAGTGCCCACAATTGTTTCTAGTGTTCATAATGAGAAAGGCAACAGAGATTCACAAGGCCCTTCTAAGCTAAAACAGCAAAGAATGGATTTTGCTTACAATAAGTTTGTTGGCTGCCTCTTTAATCTTGTCCACTTTGGCTTCTGAGAGTCCTTTGACATTGCATAGGGCTCTTCTTGTTGTCATTTGTATCCCTTTGATGGTACAGATTCCTACTGACTTTAGCTTCTTAATGTCAGCCACGTTCTGTGAATAAAAGAATGGGCACAGCAGATTGAGAAAATGCCAGCCTGAAAGGCTCCCATACTATGTCATGTGCTTTTGTGTCCATCTCCTTCCACCATGATGCCAATTTTATACAAGCAGCCAGGTGGAACCCACCCACCATGTAGCCAAATGTTCTGGAAATATCTGAGTAGAACATACTCAGCAGGCTGCCAAATGTTCTGACTGTGCCCTGATTTCCCAAGAATGTTAGTGAGACCATGGCAATGTAACAAGGAATTCAAAAGAAAAGTCTGTTGGTGGAAAAGCTGACAAATTTATCACACATTCACCCCCTCAGTTCAGCTCCTTCCTTCTACAAAACTTCATTACCAATATGTTCTTTTAAAATTTTTAAAGATTTTTTTCCTCTGCCCCTGGAGAATGCAAATAACTACATCACCAAAGGACCAGGATTTTCTCTTGCTTCTATTTTCTAAAACCAACTGAAAGAGATTAAAAGTGAGGGCTATAAAAGATAATGCCAGTGGAGTTCTACTATCAACTGATTGCTGTTGAAATCCGTCTAGTTTGTTACTCAGTCTGGATTTCTGCCAACAACACTTACTCCAGTCACCTGACATATAGAACTAAATTTTCTGTTAATAAAGGCTGGAGATGTCGACAGATGAGAGATAGATTGAGAGGGACCCTGAAACACCTCCAATTGGATCAGTAGTTCTCAATGGGGGGCAATTTTGCCCCCTGGGTACATTTGACAATGCCTGGAAACATTTTTGGTTGTCACAGCTGAGGGTTGCTACTGGCATATAGAGAGTGAGTAGAGGCCAGGGATGTTGCTATGCACCCTACAAAGCATAGGACAGCCCCTCGCAACAAAGAATTACCTAGCTTCAAATGTCAATAAGGCTGATGCTGAGAAAGTCTTGAGTTGAATCATTTAACACAGCATAGAAAAACTACTTACAATTCCATGTTTTTGTAACAGGTCAATGTCTTGAAACAAAGATTCCTAAAGGAGATGGAACAGAGAAAATGAAGTTTTGATTCTTCATATCCAACTACTTCACATCTTTTAGAGATTTGTTCAATACTATGAGTCACTGACAAATGTCTCAAATTCCACTTCTCTAGACAAATTGGGGTGGGATCAATAATGTTTTTTCAAACACATTGCTGCGGGGCCAGGCGAGGTGGCTCACACCTGTAATCCTAACACTCTGGGAGGCCGAGGCCGGAGGATTGCTTGCACTCAGGAATTGGAGACCAGCCTGAGCAAGAGACCCCGTCTCTACTAAAAATAGAAAAAATTAGCTGGGCATGGTGGCGCATGTCTGTAGTTCCAGCTACTCAGGAGGCTGAGGCAGGAGGATCGCTTGAGCCCAGGAGTTTGAGGTTGCTGTGAGCTAGGCTGATGCCATGGCACTCTAACCCGGGTGACAGAGCAAGGCTCTGTCTCAAAAAAAAAAAAAAAAAAAACCCCACATTGCTGCGTACTTAGAAGAATCTGCTTTGAAAGGGCTGGGAAGCCAATTACCTTTGTCATGTCCTTCATAAATTTTTAAAATCTTTAACCAAAGGAATGGAGCAACATTTGACCTATTTTAAATGTTTTCTCAACCTTCTTCCCCTTCAGATCTTGAACTCCTTCTTCTAGGACCAGGCTGCTATTTGGTACCAGAGTGTGTAGGTACCAGTACGGCCATACCAGTTGTTAAGTTATTAAAATACTTTCATACCAGTTGTTAAGTAGCTAATCTTAGCACCCCTTGCCAAACAAGTTGTTACATATTTGTTATCTATAACTATGTCTTATTTCTACTTTCAGTTTCTAAAAATAGTAGCTAACAGAGAAGGAACTTGATTTTTGTGGAATGACTGAATGTCTACATATCTTTGAACATTCTGGTCATACCTCTTCATCTTGGAATCCTGGTTCTTCCAGCACGACTTGATCCTCCTTCATATTGAAAGGTAAGCAGTAGAAAAATAATCAACTCTGGGAAAATAAATACCGTTTAAGAAGTAGTTGTAGAATCACCAAGGACCAGAAGGACAACAAGAAAAACATTTAGTTTGGAAAGACTGGGCTGGCCTATCTTTCTGCTGGGCATGTGGCATTATTTCTTTTGTGGGTGTGTCCAAGGGGTAGGGGGGCTTGTTAGGTTTCTTCTCTCTTTCCTCCACGCTGCTCACTTTTTATCTTCTGTTTCTATCACACAATCAATCATGATTGTATGATGTCTTTATTGTTGCCTTGGAATGTTATTTAGAATTGCATATTGCTATTAACCTTTCATGTATATGTTTAGCAACAACCCTCTAAGAACCCTGACGTTATGTCATTCTTCCTTGTATCCTCCCTGGCACCTTGAACTCAGTCTGTTCTCAATAAATAGATTTTATTTTTCTCATATATGATGAATGCCTTCCCGCTTGCTGATTATGAATGGGCGCTCTTATGACATGTATCTTTTTGTTTCATACGACATTAGCTATACTTTCACAGTATTTACTAGTTTCATGATTTTTTTAAGATTTAAAAATATGGTGGATACACAATATTATACTATTAGAGCCAATTGGCAGTTAATCTTTTATTTAACATTGTGGAAGTTTGGGGTTTTTTAAATTTTAATTTAATTTAATTTTTACCTTCCCCAGCCTCTTTTTTTTAAATTTTTAATTCTCAGGAATCCACAACGGATGACCGTGTTCATTACAATAAAATGTAGTCCAAATAATTATTTCCTTGGTCTATTCCATTTCCTTGTTTGATATCAAAGTCGGGGTCGGACGGCAGCAGGCAGGGAACAAACTGCTAAGGCAGCGGTCTGGTCCCACCACCTCGCACCTCCCCACAGCTGAGTGCCGAGGCAAAAGACACAGTTTGGCCGGGATCCCTCAGATGTAAGCTACATGCACGAGCACCCCAAATTCCACACTGACTGTCCCCTTGAACAAAAAAACCCTACCATCCATTTTTCCTCCCCCGTGATAAAGTGAAAAGATTGTCCCATCTTTCTCAAGTAGCAATTGATGGGGTCTAAAGCAGGGCTCCCAGGCATCGCGGTTCAAGGCGACCGGAGCTGTCCCCTTGCGGTGGGGGGAGCGTGGCCAGGTCGCCCTCGACGCCGCACTCAGCAGGAGCCCAGGTCAGCACCCGCCGCCCGACACTTTCCTGACCCCGGATTCCCTCGTGAGGAGGCTGAGGCGGCCTCTCCAAGACTTAGGTCCGATTTGATTTAGAACCAGGAGGCTGGAAGTCCCTCGGGATCGCTGAGGTTCCTTCCAGGGGGTGGGGCGGACGCGCAAAGGCGCCGGCCCCGGCCCAGCAACGATCGCCAAGGATTACCAGAAAAAGGGGCGAGAAAGCGTTCTCGAAACCTTGTTTTCCCTCAGATTCTTCACACGTTTCCCTTTTTGCCACCCATCCCCCTCGTACCCACAGTCTCCCCGAGATTTTCGAGATGAATCCCTTCTGCCCCGCGCCGGGGCTTTCCCGTCCGCAGCTGACAGGATTCTAACTCAGCCCCAGATCGCCGAGACTGGCCAACAGCGCACAGCTGACCACAGCGTTTGGCGCCAAGCGAGGAGGGCGGGGCGAGGGCGAGGGCGAGGGCGGGCCCACGGGGGGGGAGGGGAGAACCCGGGGCGTGGCATGGTGGTGGGCGGGGCGGATACCGAGGGGCGGGACGAGGCCCTAGGGGAAGGGAAGACCGAGAGCCTGCGGGGAGGCGCGCTGGGGTGAGGGAGGGCGCTGTGGAGCAAGTGTGTGGAGGAGAGGGGTCTTCTTGGGAGGGAGCTCAGGCTTCCCTCCAGCAGAGCCCAGTGCTGAAGTCCGGGAGAGGACTCCGAGGCGGGGGCTACTGGGGTGGAAGACCTCGGGGCGGGGGAGGGGTGCTGAGCGCAGGTGGCTGACGTGGGCGAGAGGTGACCTGCAGATGCTCATCGTGATCAAGAGCCTCGGTTTAGGAGTCAATAAGGGGGTCCTTGTCCCCTAGCCTAGGGCTTTCCCTTTCCAGTTTTTCATACCTCGCTTCGTGAACTGTCCCTCCCACCTCAGTGCTGCTAATTTCCCTCTCTTCTCTGCGCCTCTCTTACCATTTGCCACTCTCTTGTCTGTGATTGAGACACCCAAGGCCCATTCAGGATAGAAAGTAATTTTTCTTTGTCTTAGCTTGAAATTTAAAATAGACCGCAGAAGCCAAACATATTTTGGTTCAGCTTTTAAATAGAAGTTTCAGGCCAGCCTTCGTGCCAGCAGAGCCATCTCTGGCAGCGTCATCCTCCTCCCCTGAAATGGAGACTGTTGAGGAGAGTCATGAAACATTTGAAAGAGCATCTGTTGAGGTGGAGGCTGTGATGGATCTTGGATGAATATCTGTGCAAACAGTTCTTTGGGTTCAAGACCTAGTACAGAGCGACCCTTTTTCTTCTGTCTGAATCATTTTGCTGGAATAAATAGCAAAACATTTCCACAATAGCAGTTGGCATTTTGTAGAACTCTCCGCCCCAGGTGGATTGTTTAAAGAGCAGACAAATAACTGCCATTGTGCTTCAAAATCTGTTATTTTCCAGAAACATATTCTTTCCTTCTTGTTAAATGGAAATTAATGCCCATTTTGGGGAGGAACTGGATAGTGATGACAGGCTTTCACTCTGAGGCCTCACCTAAAATAATTATAGTAACTTTTGAGCAACTTGTTAGATGAAGACATCAACAGTGTACAGAAGAGCTGCAAAGAGCACAGCAAGATGATTTAGGGAAATTTAACATATGTAGTTTGGTGTAGTGACAGCTGGGAGACAGAAATGTTCATAATATTTGAAGGTTGTGTGCAGTACACTAAAAGAAAGAAACTGAAATGAGCTGGGTAATGACAAATTCATGAATTGAGGATAAAAAAATCTTGTTTGGATATTATATTGATGGCTACATACAACTTTAAACATATTTTAAAACAAAAACAACAACAAAAGCGGGGGTCATTAAAAAGTGCACACGAAGACCTTTCCACTCAAATCAGGACAAAAAAGAAAAGATTAGTCTGTTATATTATACAAAAATTCTGAATGTGATGAAGGTGGCATTTGAAACCAGTGCAGAAATGATGAATTCAGTGATTGGTGTTGGAACAACTAGGTAACCATCTGGAAGAAAAATAAAGTTGGAACAAGTACCAAAATAAATTCTACTTTATACCAAAATAAATTCCAGATTGATCAAAAAATTAAATCTGAATAATAAAATAATAAAAATGCTAGAAGAAAATATGGGACATTCATAATTATTTCATAATAAGAAAAATCTTTTTAAGTATGATACGAAATTCAGAAGCCATGAAAGACTTCTAAGTACACCTATATTAAAAAATATATCCTGCATGGCAAAATTCCACTTTCCTATCTACAATATAGGATAGCTATAGGCAAGCCAGAGCTTTTGCGTCAATTATTAACTGGATAATATAGCTTGTCCAATTTTTCAAATCCTTCTGGGAATCCACAACTTCTTTATAAAATTTAAAAATTTGGTGTCATTTTTATGATATTCTAAGAAATAAAAAAACAGGCAGTGGGATTATAAAATCTGAATTTTAAACCATTACACTTTACTGCCCCTCTGTGGACAATCACCTTATAACCAAATAGAGGCACATGATTTCAGTGCATACAGTTGGGCTTCCTCAAACTAGTGCCTGTGGATATATATTCTTGGACTTTCAAGAGCTCAAATTTGAGAAATGCTTTAGTAGAGAACTAAAGAATGAAGGTTTATTACACACATACAAAAGAATTTCATTGGGTATAATTCCAGTTAAACATATTTTAGTTCATTCAGAAAATATTTATTGATTTCCTACTATTTGTCAGTCACTGTGCCAGTGTAACTACATCAGACCAATCTGGTTCTACTTTTATGTAACAAAGTTGTGATTTTTTTCAGTTGCCATGACAGTAACCTGAGCATGCCCTGATGAACTGAGCATCCAACTGCAGGTAGAACTTAAGTGTTCAGACCCAATGGGGACTGAATTAAGAAATGGCACCTCGGCTGAGCGTGGTGGCTCACGCCTGTAATCCTAGCACTCTGGGAGGCGGAGGCGGGAGGATTGCTTGAGCTCAGGAGTTCGAGACCAGCCTGAGCAAGAGCGAGACCCCGTCTCTACTAAAAATAGAAAGAAATTAGCTGGACAACTAAAAATGTATATAGAAAAAATTAGCCGGGCATGGTGGTGCATGTCTGTAGTCCCAGCTACCTGGGAGGCTGAGGCAGGAGGATCGCTTGAGCCCAGGAGTTTGAGGTTGCTGTGTGCTAGGCTGATGCCACGGCACTCTAGCCCAGGCAAGAGAGTGAGATTCTGTCTCAAAAAAAAAAAAAAAAAAAGACAAAAAAAGAAACGACACCTCATGGCAGAATCCAGAATCCAATCAGATCAAGCCTTGGTGTCATTCATGGCATGATCCAGTCAGATCCAGTCAGATCACTACTCCTGGTATCACCCCATTGCAAGATCTAATCATATCATGCCTCACATCGCTCTGCATATAAAACCTGCCCAGCCTGCCAGCTGCAGAGCCAGATTTGAGCCTGACTTGAGCCTATCTCCTTGCTGGGGTGCCTGGCAAAAAACCTTTCTCACTGCAAAAATCCAGTGCTTTGTGTTTGGCTTTCTGTTGCATGTAGGCAAACGGCCCAGTTCAGTTTGGTGACATTAGGTGTTGAGTGCTAGGGATTCAATGACAAACAAGATACCAACTTTAGAGGGAGCTATAGATGAATATATAGGCAATTACAGTAGGTACTACTGTGATAGTACTGTACTACTAGAGTCCACCTCTCTGCTTTTCAACAATAATTCTCCACAGATATTTTCACTTTTCTACATAGTATGGGCTTTATGACTAAATAACAAATAGCTCTGGACAGAGATTCAGAAACAGCTTCCCTGAAGCCCTTTG